TTAATGCATATGGTACTTGTTAAAACACCTGGGTGAGCCGCGAAACCAAGCGCTAAATGGGTGCGGAAATTGTCATCTTTTACGCCGATTTGCTGGTCAGAAAAATAACAGCATAACAGCAGTGAGGAAATTGTCTAGTCGGTTGTGTCTAGCCCGCAACTTCAACTGACTACAGACTTCCTTTCAATAACACTCCCTGCATGCCATTTCGTTGGGCATCTGTTGCGACCTTGCTCTGAAAAGGCTTCATTGGAAAATGACTGTAAAGCTCTTTAACAATATAGGAATGTTAACTTGGCATTATCATTTATCCTTTTTTGTTCGATTTTCGGGTTATCTGCGCAAACAATTGGCAGTGTATCGTGTTTGCGCTGTGTTTATTTGTGGTCGTTATTAAACATTCTATACTCGTCTATCCTAATCTTATTATCACTTCATCGACGTTTGTCAAATACTTGCGACATACCATGAATTATTCAATTGTTTGGGTTTGTCTTTCTGCTAAACCACGGAAATGTCAATATTGCATTTCTTCCGACAAAACTCTCTTAGTGGTTTGATCTCGCCAACATAGATACGAAGCCCAGGTTTTGACGACATAAACTCGTCCCTGCTTGTCGGCGAATACCGTTTCGCGAGTAAAAAACCTATAGAGGAAAATGGAAATAAGGCGCTCCAAAAGTAAGGGGTTGTGACAAGAAGAGGTGGTCTGTTGTCATGGTAGTTTAAAATGGATTTTGGTAGCCCGTGCCACAAACAGCATAGATTTTCTAAGGCACGTGGTTCAAGGAGACTAGCGACAAGGCAGGGCGAGCGAAAGAATTACCGAAGGAGACTAGGAATTCTCTTCCTAGAACTTCACCGTTTTTCGCGCATACTTTTTTCGGTACCGTTACTTACCAAGTGTCTGGCGCTGTCTACCAATGATTCGGCCTAGGTTTAATCTTGTCTCGTAATACACCTCTCTCTGGAAAGAAGGCTCTGAGACCGAAGCTGCCAAGGTAGGGCTCGACAAGCCATTAGAAAGAAAAAGTTCTATCAAAAAAATGCAAGGTGCGAGACGTTTCGGCTCTGCTGATGGAAAATGAAGTAGTGATCATTGAGTAAAGCTTGAAAGGTGTGGTGAAGACTTAAATGAAATCCGTTTGCTCGTCTCGAGTCCACTTCGAACACGACCAGCATCTTCTTTCGAGTTCAGTACTTCTTTTTCCGCCGTTGAATAGCATGCTACGAACGAAGGCATCCTCAAGATGATGGCAAACCGTGTTGAAATACTCAATGAAAGAAAAAGAGAAAACAACAGATGGTCCCCATCTTGTTTTTCTTTGGCCATGATAAGTGAAAACAAGTGGCCTGGCCCTAGCGCTAAAAACGGCTGTTATATAAACAATATTTGGCGCGAAAATATGCACGGATAATAGTTTGCGGGCATTATCTGTTCTCAGATGTGCACATTTTTCCAAGAGCGAAGCTCGGGGAAAGCTGTGAGCACCGAGGAACAGATAATGTCCAAGGAGAAATTTACGTGCATATTTTCGCGCAAAATAGAGGCCGTTGTGTTTATTATCCTTCAAATATACTTTTTTCTGAGTGTTCTCTGGTATGAATTTATGAACAAACAAATATTGTCCTTCTTCTGTAACAACCACGAAACGCTCTCTCATCTTAAATTAAATTTTAGACGAAGACTTACCGTAATGGATGCAAGGTTTGAAAATTGGGGAATATCACTTAGGATATTCCCCAGTTTTAGCCAGAGGATATTCGGTCACTTGATGCGTTTAGACCGATCGCGGGCGAGCAACAATATTTGATGGATCATAAGCTTGGATATTGCTTGTGTTACCGACCAATCAAATGTCAGGAGAACTGTAAACTTGACCAGTCCCTCCTTATCCGATTCGGCCAAACAGGGTCTTGGGAACGAACTTTGCCTCCACAATGATCTATCAGTTTCCATCTGGCCCATATTTCTGTTTGAAAGTCGGCGCCCGCGTTTGGCCTCGTGGCGCACAGAACACTTTGCGAGACGGAGCTGAAAAACGGTTGCTAAGGAGATTGGCACCACTACTACAGATATTCACTCCTGAGGCACAGGTGGAACATACGTAGTAACAACAGAAAGAATTCTTGCTGATCTCTTTTCCTGCCCTCGCTTGAAAAAAATTCCGGGATACAATCTTTAGTTTAATGCTTCGTTTACGGCTCGTAGAATTGAAAAAGTCAGTGAAAAACCAGTTTCTTTGGAGGAGTCATAAGGCAGAATCGTTGGATTGTCTACCATTTTGTGGGTGAGTCAACCCTTAACAGTTATTTGGAGGTTATTTTTGATTAGCTTAATTGGTAGAGCATCGGACTGTTGTGCGTGAGGTCGAGGGTACAAGCCCCGGCCGGACCAGCACTCATGGTCTTAAAATAACTGAGGAGAATTTGCTACCTTTCTATAATATCAAGAAATGGATAGATATTCTAGTCTTCTCGGATAAGGACAAATAAACCGTAGGTCCTGTCTCCTGCAGGGTTAGGGGTAGGAGACGTTAATTTCCCACGCA